TCACTTCGCAAGACCTGACATGCACACTGCTCCTCCACTGACCTGGGCTGAGCTGTTCCCCAGGGCGCAGAGAAAGCACCCACTGCTCTAGCCAAGCCCCCTCGAAGGACCTCCTCTCCCTCTGTCCTACACTGAGGACTCTAGCTCTATACGGTGATGCCCTCCTTCTGTGCAGCCCACGCCAGCTGGCAGCCACATGAGCACAACACAACTGCTAAACCCACCACCATCCTGGGGATACAAAGCGTAAAACCCAGACAGCTCAACATAAAGTTGTATATTTAAGATTCCTCTTAACCTGCAGCATGTGTCAAATCCCAACCAACAGGAACAAGCCGTACAGGCTCTCTCCCCTTACACATCACACAAAGAAGCAACATCCCCTCCCTGGGATCACCAGTTATTTCAGGCTGTGGATCCCCAACGTACCCTCTCGTGGCTAAACTCCTACAAGAAGCTATAAAAAGGAGATGTGTCCGAGCCCCACGACGTCTCTGACATCACACGATCCCTTCAGCAACCCGAAATTCTTCTTCCACAAGCCCGGGCTTTCCCCTCCCTTCCTCAACCTCTACCTTTTGTTGACCTACAGCTCAGACCCCTTCCTCTTGTTCACCCACAGTTCCAAGGGCCAACCGTGGAGTCCTCACCCTAACTGCTGCCCATTCTCTTTTACCCACAGTTCATTTTCCAAACTGTTTTACAAGCCCACCTAGCCTGGCCCCTCTTTCTAGCACTTTTAGCCACAGCTGATCTCCTAATAATACCAGAAGCCCAAACAATCCATTTCCATCAGCCTATCCCAACTTAGACTGCACATCCCTTTACGAACTCCTCACCACGGGTCTGTCTCTTCAATCTATCTCTCCCCGCCAGGGACCCACTGTCTGCATTCCCATCTCAACCCACCAGCTGCAGCCTTTCATCTCTGCAAACTCTCAACCCTGCTACCATGCTAGGTGAAAACCTACAGCATCTCCCTCCTCAAAAAGGCACTGCTGTCTGGACACTGGATTTCACGCCCACGACAACACACACTCGTCCCACTGACCCCTGAGTGATTTACAGAAGGCAGGTCCACCCAAGGTCACTCTCCTCTCCCAACTGTGGATTCTGATGCCAAACAGAACCATCCACGTGCCTTTGTACCAAAGACTTCAACCCACCTCATAACAGAACAGCTCCACCGTAAGCCCTCATCCCGCAAAAGACAAATTCGTATTTCCAAATTCCAGACAGGCCTGTAACATCACCTGTTCACATGCACATCACTGTGGTTTCCTAACTCAGAAGGGTCCCCAATCCTCCATGCACATCTCTTTTGAGTGGTTTAGAGGCTGTCCCCCTGCTCCAAAGAGTTGTGACCCTCCATGGTGGCCGACATCAAATAGAGAAGAGCTACCTCACCCACGCAAACAATGCAGCCCAAAAATTAAGTGAGCAGGTAGCCACTAACTCTTCACCCCCCTCCCCTCTGGAGGAAGCCATTGCAACCACACCTCTCCTCCCTCTGACACCCCTTTACTCCACAGAGGAAAATGACCTTCACCCCTTCCAACCCTCCTCGGTCCTCTAGGACCCCTGATGGTACTAAGGCAATGATGAATTACTCCCCAAAACTCACCAAGACCCACACTCTCGAACCTTCCCTCTACTTTCCGCACTAACCCAACTGTTCACCCATGTCTTCTCTTCTCACATATGCATTACAAATGAGACCCCCAGATCTCTACACCCCAATTCTCTCAAGATTGGCCAGTGAGGCTCAAATCCCCTTCATGGTCACTCCCTCCATCAACAGTTACCTACTCAAAGGGCCAAGAGGAATAGAATTAACACCTGCAGGCACACACACAGGGAACATTGACTGCTCTTGCATTCACAGAAATGACTCAGGTAAGAGAACAGGTAATAGATGAAGGTGGAATACATGATATAAAGTGGAGGAAGAAAAGGCACAACAGGACAGAGATTGTTCAATTGCAGCTCAGAAATACAATCAGAAAGAAATGGAGAAAAGAGACAGACCAGTTTCTTCTGCAGGTGAAAAAAAACTGTGGAAAGCAGTTCTATGAGGGGCAAATCTGCAAAGCAAGAACGCACGGCTAGTGAAATGAGGCCATGGGAAAGAGCAAAAGGCAATTCTCAGAACAGCACAGCGTCCCCCCCTAAAATGGGTCACCCCACGAACCCAGGGGCACAGACGAATTCCCACTCGCCGTCCTGAACCGTCCACCTCTCACCAGGACCCATGACCATCCCAGGAAGGATAGAATCGTCCCCACGACTTTCACTCGGGGATGACCAGCAGAACCCAGGGAAAGCAGGGTCTGACCTGGGGCTGCTGGTGGCCCAGTGCTAACAGGCTTGGCTGCAATCCCGAAGGCACAAGATTCGAGGCCACCAGCTGTTCCTGGGGAGAAGGATGGGCAATGTGGGCCTGGGGTGGAGGGAATTAACTGGCCCTGAAAACCCACTGGAGGGTCTGCGATGGGTCAGATCTAACTCCATGGACACGGCAGCAACCACAACGTGGGGATGCACAGATAGCACAAAGAGGCTCCGTTTTGAGGTCCTGCAATTAAAACTATGGTGTTTAACAAGATAAACACACACTGGAATTTGTATTCTGTGACGACATTTATTAAATATTCTCACTCACTCGTTCCTCTATGGTGGATCCTTTACTAGTAAAGCTCTTAAAAAAGCCCCAAAAATCTCAAACACTCACAATTTTTCAAAGATTACTTTTATTTCGTGAAAGCTCCTGTCCCCGCCTCCCTCAAAGGCACCGTGCGGTGACCTCCCGAGGAGACGCGGACTGCACCACCACACTCCAGCCACACTCACCTCCTGGCCTCACAATGACCCCCACCCTGGTCCTCCACACACACACTCACACCCCAGGAACTGACCACCGCCCTGGTCCTCTGTGCACACTCACCTTTAGGACCGAGAACCACCCCCCATCACGTTTGTTCTCCATGCAAATTCATCTCCAGACCCCCCTGGGGACTGACCACCACCCTGGATTCCAGCCACACTCACCTCCTGGCCTCACAATGACCCCCACCCTGGTCCTCCAGCCACACCCACCTCCTGGACCTCACAAGGACCCCCACCCTGGTCCTCCACGCACATTCATACCCCAGGGACTCACCACCACCCTGGTCCTCCAGCCACACTCACCTCCTGGCCCTAACAATGACCACCACCCTGGTCCTCCATGCACACTCACACCCCAAGGACTGACCACCACCCTGGTCCTCTGTGCACACTCACCTCTGGGACCCAAGAACCCACCATCATCCTGGTTCTCCATGCAAATTCACCTCCCGACCCCCCTGGGGACTGACCACCACCTGGTCCTCCAGCCACACTCACCTACCGGGGACTGACCACCACCCTGGTCCCCTGTGCACACTCACCTCTGGGACCGGGAATCCCCCCCTCATCTCCTTTGTTCTCCATGCAAATTCATCTCCAGAGCCCCCGGGGACTGACCACCACCCTGGACTCCAGCCGCACTCACCTCCTGGCCCTCACAATGACCCCCACCCTGGTCCTCCAGGCACACTCACACCCCAGGGACTCACCACCACCCGATCCTCTATGCACACTCACCTCTGGGACCGAGAACTCCCCCGTCACCCTGGTTCTCCATAGAAATTCACCTCCTGATCCCCCCGGGGACTGACCACTACCTGGTCCTCTGCGCACACTCACCTCCTGACCCCCCTGGGACAGTCCACCACCCTGGTCCTCCACGCACACTTACCTCCCAGGGTCTGACCACCACCCTGGTCCTCCAGCCACATTCACCTCCTGGCCCTCACAATGACCCCCACCCTGGTCCTCCATGCACACTCACACCCCAAGGACTGACCACCACCCTGGTCCTCCGTGCACACTCACCTCTGGGACCGAGAACCCACCATCACCCCGGCTCTCACATGCAAATTACCTCCCGACCCGCGGGGACTGACTCCCACCCTGGTCCTCGGCACACATTCACCTTCCGGCCCCCCAGACACTGACCCCCACCCTGGTGACACTTACCTCCAGGGTCCAGACGTAGGTCCGCTCCGGGCACTGGGCAGCGGAGGCCTGGGGGGTGGCGGACATGGCGGGAAGCGGCGGCGGCTGGCGGCGGAGAGGGGAGACTCGGGGCTCCGGGAGCGGCCGGAGACGATCGGGCCGCGGAGCAGGCCTCCTCGTCCTCGGGAGGGGCAGGAGCGGTCAGCGGTTGCTCCGAACTGGCCGCAGACAAAAGGAAAGCGGCGTCAGAGCAGCGGCTCCATCCACGTGTCGCCAACAGGAACTCGCTTCCTTCCTTTTTCCGGTGTCCGAGCTCCTGAGTGTCACAGAAAAATACGTCCGGCCGGAAACAGACGCTAAAGTCATCTTGGTTCCCACCTCGGGGGGGGGGGCGGGTCTCTGTAATTAGAGTCCCAGGTCCAAGAAGTGACCCTGGGACAGTGGGAGCTGGGCATTCGCACTCAGGACGGGACCCTGCATGTCACCTTCTATGGGTCATGTCAAATTAAAAAAGCAGAAACCCGCCTGATGGGCTTTGCTGCCAGAGCCAGAATTGAGGATCTGAATTGAGGAGGTCACTAGCCCCATGGCATTGATGGGGAATTAGGAGTGGTGTCGACATGAATCCTTCATCTGGGCACATCTCACGCATTTTCATCTTTAACCAGTGAGAAGTAAAAATATTTTTAAATTAGACTTATTGATAGTCATGATCAGATATGTCTAAGACACTAAGGGTAATTCTTGATTAAAGAAAAAACACACATGCACGTCCATGTTTATTGCACCTTTATTTACAATAGCAAAGAGGTGGAAACAATCCAAGTGCGCATCCACAAGCAAATGGACAGAAAAGCTGTGGTCTATTCACATAATGGAATGCTATGCTGCGTTGAAAAACAAGGAAGTCATGGAATATGATTCAAAATGGGTAATCCTGGAGGACATGACGCTGAGTGAAGTATCTCAGTCACAAAAGGACAAATACTGCATGGTGCCACTGTTGTAAAACGGGACTGACCTCGGGGTTGGGGGGAGACTGAGAAAAATGGGCTCAATCATGAATACTGTATTGAAAAAGATGAGGGAGAAAACTGTTTAAAATGGATATATAATTGGGGATTATGGTCATGACAAGAGTCCCCAATGAAGGCTGCAGAGTGGAGTGGACTTTGTGTGTTGTGGGGGAGATTGTATACCAATAAAAGAATTTTTCTTTTACTTTTCAAAGACAAGAGCAAACTAGAGGGGTGTGAGCAGGGAGAAAGAGCAACAATGAATGAATGGAAATCCAAAATCTCTGTGAACGTTCATTAAATAATAAAAAAAAAATAACAAAATGCCCACCCACCTGAAAACCAACCCACCTGTTGTTTCGCAACTGTTTTACTCTTTACACAGAACAGAAACTGAAATACCTTGTTATTAGTCATAAATGCAATCTTTGAGGATTTTTTTCTTTCCCCCATATACAGGAGTATTGCCTAAAACTTGTCTTCCCTTGTAAAAGCTAGGGTATGCCAATCTGCTGTAACCTGCAGTCTCCCTGTTGCTTCTCTGGCCCTCCTGTCCTGCTGAACGCTGCTTCACAACAGTTATTAAAACTATCTACCACTGCTGTAGTTACTGCTCCTGCTTTTACCCCAAAACCACTTTGGTTTCATGGCTTGGCAAACACTAACCTTTACCCACATTAATTGCCAAAGTTTCTACCTCCAAAATTTTCCTCCCTTCATGGGCGCAAAATTGGAAAACTATTTGTGTTGATTGCCAAAACACCTTTCACTTCCACCATCTCCAAAGTTGCTTCCATCATTACCAAATCCACTAGAACCATGCCTACTGCCTCCCTATCGTCCACCACCACCAAGGCCCCTTAATACACTGAAGTTTACTCCTCTACCAAAGTTGTCATTTCTAACAAAACCACTTATTTCCATGGCCACAGCCAAAGTTTCCAGAATCACTTAGATCTCATGGGTGGGAAAAGGCCATCTCTTGTTTTGACAGGCTTTGCTTATTTCACAGTTGTCACCATTCACAGTGTGGTACAGGAGAATAGTGATTTGATCTACAGTCATCAATATCTTTTAATTCCACCATTATTTAACTCTCTTAAATGGGGACCTGGTGTTTGAGAATCTTTTGAGACAACCCTCTTAGACTCTGCACCCTGTCCATCCATTCATGGTTGTGTTCAGCTCTTCCACACTGGAATACGTGAGAAACACAAAGCTTCTGGAACACTTGATATTTGGACCTCTCATTATGACAGAGACTGTGCGCGTCTTGCATTGAAATAGCTCCTTAAATGGAGAAACTCTGGTGGCATACCGGCATGAATCTGCACTGCAATCCCCAAAGTGTGAGGTTCAAATCTACCAGATGCTCTGCTGGAGGAGGGGAAATCTCCTGTGCCAGTCAGACCCGATACACAAAGTGTGTGTGTGTATATTTATATTTTATATAAAAATATATAATCACAAATATTTCCAAGAAAATTTCATGTTTAATTCCTACTGCAAAGATAACTCATGTGTGGTAGTTTATTAAAATCTTATGAAAAAGAAACTGG